ATGACTAGTATTAGAAGGGGTTTTGTGGATAATATAGTAATTTTAATAGTTGAGATCATGAGTCAATTGAAGCTAGACCACCATGAAAAACCTGGAAGCATTGAATAGTCGTTTCGTCCTAGTATGCAATGTGCATACACGATCCCACCGGCAGGATTCGAACCGAGGACTTATCAGTCTCGCATGTGAATGCTTAACCTTTAGACCACTGGATCGGTCGGCATTTAACGATGTTAATGTCTAACTTCAACTAATTCATGAATTTGTACCACCGTTCATCATTGTCTTCAATGAGTTACTATCTCACTATCACTCAGATTATATTTTGTTTTTTAGAATTAAATGTACTTCACCATAATCATCAAATAGATAACTTTAATATTCAATAAAACCGAATAAAAAATATAATTTTTTAAGGAAGAACAATCACTAACTTTGTTGCTATGCAAATGTAAACAAACGATTAATTTTACAAAAAAAATCGGAAAATAATAATAATTATTATTATTATAAAATCATTCTTTTTACCGATAATCTCTTGCTGTGATCTTTATTAAATAAGTAAACATAACAATAAATTACTAAAAAGAAAAAACAAAGAAACGACAAAGAAACAACAATTTTAAATTAGAACAGCATGTTTCATCTTAACCCTATCCATGTATTTAACAATGATAAAGAAATATATAAAACAAATCAGTGAATAGTTGTCATAGTGTATTGTATTGTATTTACAAAGTCCTAAATTAAGAATAACAGTTTTGTTTATAAATTAAATGAGAGAGTGGGGGGTGATAAAATAGAATGATAGAAAACTGATATAATAATCAATTCAGATTTATTTTTTGTATACAAGTTAATCGATATGAATTCCTCTAAAAATGATTCATATTAGATAATATTTTCAAAGATTTTAATGTTTGTTTAATTCTTGGCATGTTACTGTTTATAAATGATTGATTATTGGGTGATGATCAATGTCATATATGTCAGGTTCTTCTTAGTATTATCTCTAACTACTATCTTATAGTAATAAAGTGCATACAATGTCGAGTCACCTAGACTAGTAGTCACATTGTAACTTGGTCGATAGAATTCGATTTGAACTAAGAACGACCTGATATATATATATATGACATTGATCAGCAAACAATGATCAATCAATTGTAAATACATCTCAGTCCTACAGGAGGTTAATCGCAACCCGGATAGTTCAGTAGTAAACTCTCTCATTGTGAAGCTAGTGACACGGGATCGAATCTGTCAAGGAGCATTAGTTCTCTCAAGATTACAGCTACACCTTGCTGATGAGTGCCAAATAGCATGAAACCTAGGTCCAGGGTTTCCAGCTAACTACCTCCAACTACCATCTTATGTTACTGTTTGAATACATACTGTTTAAAAATTATTTCATTTTTTAAAAAAAGATTAGACCGAAAGATAATTAACCATATAATTCATATACTTCCTCATAAACAATTGCAAAATCTGTGCCGATTTACACTCAAGACCATAAAAATGAATGTTACATATAAGTGAACAGAGATATAAAGGTTAATTGTTTAAAAAAACGTGATACATCAATTATTTTGAGAGAACATTTGTCAAAAGGATAATAATTATGTAAAGCAATAATCGGGAACCAGTAATTCTTGTATATATTGTAGCGGTAAATAAATCCCCAAAATAAATAGCTCTGTAAGTCTTCGACATTGGATGCTGATCATATTAGCATTAATGGACTCACCTAGCTGAAGGAGCTCGATCATGCATCCACACCAGATCACGAGTGGGAACGCCGTGCCCAACATCCCCTGCAATCGCTAGCTAGATCAGACCAGACGATCCTCGACATATTGATAGCCTATCAAATATATTTTCGAACCTCCTCACTTGTCTTTTGATTTCACTTGGTGGGTACGATTCATATTAGGTGTTACTGGTTAAAGCGTTGTCAAACTCCAAATACCTGTGGCGTCTTCAATATATATATATGAAGCGAGTGGCACTGGGTTCGAGTCCCAGAGTGAACATCAACCCCGAGATGCAGGTACATCCTACTGACGAGTCCTAAATAGGACAAAAAGCGCGTCACACTGCATTTCACTACTAGCCACTATCCATCTTTGCCTATAAAGCTTGTGACCTAATGCAGTCCGTACAGGATGTACATATGTCAACAAGAGACTGATCAATTGCAGTCTTAAATAACAATGGGAAGATACAAATAAACAACATTAAGTAAAGTAATTATAATCGTCAACAACTAATTAGACAAAAACGAAAACAGAGAGCATGGAATAATAACATCAAGAATTATTTTGGTAAGTATGTCATTTTATATATACTAGATTGTTTTGTGACCTATCAATTTGGATAGATATTATTTTAACTAATCACGTTAATCAGGGAGTGTAGAGTATCTGCAAGAAGGAAAGTTTAATAAATATACTTAGTAAAACCAATGACTAGAAATTAAATATCCCTATGATTTCATCAGTGAGATGGCATAGTCAATGATGTAAGCATATTCAAGGCGATTTCAGAGGAGAAGTCATTGCTGATGTAACGAACATAAAATTGTAGTAATTTTGTTTCACTGAGATGGAAACACATTAATCCACAGTCTCGATAATTTACTTGCAATGTGATTCATATAGGAAGATTTAGAGTGAAACAATTTGACTTTAAATAGAGTTGTGTATGTTATAACTAGATGTTTCTGTACATTGGGTTGCATTAGTGGATGAAAATGATAACGTACTCAGTATTTTAGAGAAAAAGATTTGATACATTTGAAGCATCTCCTTTAATAAATAAAAGTTCTAGCTTAATCGATCTAGATTTGTACTTTGAAGTACAACCATAAGCAAGAGTGAGAAGTGCATAAAGCCGCCGAAATAATTTCAACCTAAGCTTATCGCTCATGAGAACAATACTCAGAATATAAGTACGGTATTCTAGGAATAGTCAGACACATTTTTCGCACATCAAAATATGAGTCGTTTTTATAGGGGTCACGTAGTATACAAGAGCACCGCGAAGTTGAATCTACTTGTTTCCGTAGCTATTCGATTAGTCCTCCCTGTCTCCCACATAGTCCGGACATTCAACGTACCTATATTAATTGTTGCTCTGCTTGTTAGAAGCGGCATCAGCCTAATGACTTCCGAAGAATCTCGCCTTTCACTATGAGGCGTCATAATTCTTCTGAGTGAAGATCTTCCAACTCCCATGGTTTAAACTGTTTATTCTGGTTAGCGTTTTTTGGCAAGGTTGTTTTCTACGGGATGAGGTCGCTGATTCAATGTCCAACCCTCCTCCTTTACCTGGGCTTAGGAAATATATAGTAAACCAGAGAGACCAATCCGGGACAAATAATGCAAACCAATCAGAGATTCCAGAACAGAGGAACAGATGGGCAGAATACTTCCAGCAACTCTTGAATAAACCAGCTCCAATGAATCCACCGGACAACGAAACAGCACAAACAGACCTTCCTATAGTTGCCATCCTACCAAAGAAGCCAGCACGGCAATGGGAAAAATCAAGAGCGGGAAAGCAGAAAGATCAGACAATGTAACAGCCGGAGCATTAGCGTCAGACATAGAAGTAACGGTAAAAATGCTCCACGTTCTATTCGGAAAGATTTGGGAGGAGGAACAAGTGCTGACAGACTGGAAAGAAGCATATTTCATCAAGATACCAAAGGAAGATCTGAGCAAATGCCAGAATTATAGAGACACCACACTACTGTCAGTACCAGGAAGTTTTCAATAGAGTGTTACCCAACCAGATGAAAGACTCAGTGGACGTCTGACTACGAGATCAACAAGCCGGATTCCGTATAGGTCGGTCGTACGCAGATCAAATCTAATATTACGATCAGCGTTGAACAATCAATTGGATAGAACTCGTCAATATAAATCATTTGACAGTATGGATAGGAGGACCTTATGGACACTGGTGTACCTTGGCAAATCGTCAACATCATACGAAATTCATACGGCAAACTACACTGCAAATTCGTGAATGGAGGACAACTGACAGACGCATTCCAAGTAAGAACTGGAGTCAGACAAAGTTGCTTACTCTCTTCCTTTCTATTTCTTCTGATGGTTGATTGCATTTTGAAGTCCTCTACATCTAACGAGAAGCACCGAATACAACGGACAGCTTAGATGCAACTGGGTGATTTGCAGTTCGCAGATGACCTGGCCCTTCTATACCATACACCAACAAGTGAGGGTGAAGACAACCAGTGTGGAAAGAGCCTCAACATACACAACGGAAAAAGCAAGATCTTCAAATACAACACGGAGAGCACCAACCCAATCACACTTGATGGAGAAGCTCTGGGAGAGGTGGAAACTTCCACGCATCTGGGTAGCTTCATTGATAAACAAGGATGATTTGATGCAAACGTAAAGAAAGGATTGGTAGAACAAAGGCCACATTCCTACAACTGAAGAACATATGGAACTCAAAGCAACTGTTGACCAACATCAAAATCAGAATCTTCAGTGCGAACATCTAGACAGTTCTATTGTATGGAGCTAAAACTTGGAGAAATACCACAACCACCATCAAAAAAGTACAGGTATTTATAAACAATTGTCTACGCAAGATACTCGGTCTCCGTTGGTCGGATACCATCTGCAACAACCTACTGTAGGAGAGGAAAAACCAGCTTTCAGCTGAGGAAATAAGGAAAGGACGCAGGGAATGGGCAGGATATACATTGAGGAAATCATCAGACTGCATTACGAGGTAAGCCCTAACTTGAAACCCTGAATGGAAACAAAAATGAGAAAGACCAAGAAACACCGAGTCGGAAATTGAAAGTAGATATCAAAAGAATGAATAGCAACTGGAAAAGATTGACCAGAACAAAGTTCGATTGAAAATGCAAGTAGGCGACCTATTCTCCTCCATGAGCGGTAAGGACGTAGTATACGATCCAGAAATTAAGTCAAGCTACACGCAAAACGTCAACATATAAAACATCAAGAATATTTTACAAACATAATCTTTATCAACAGCTACGCATTTCAACAATCATAAACCTACAAGAAGATCCAAAAACTCACACAAATCAATATCACTTGTATATTTTCTTCCAAATATATAAAAAAAAATTCCATTAGTAAATCAAGCATTATAGATCTACTCACAAAATGTGTGCATTTGTAATAAAGAGAAAAATATTTAGGAAAATATAAATCCAAATAGAAAAACAAAAGCCATGAAATTTGAATACAAAGACAAAAGTTTGTTTTCTTTGTTTTTTTACTTGTTTGTTTTTGATTACACGATGGAAAAATATGGGGAACAATACAGTTCTCAATAGTCTTTTATTCAACTAAAAAATACTTTACATGATTTACATGGTTTGATAAGTTTACAAGAACCCAAATGATTCGTTTTGATAAGAAGTATAGAAGGTGGAAATATTATCCAAAAGAAGTTTCATCACTCTAAGGTAGGTATATAGTTATGAAACACTCATTAATTCATATAAATACCTATGTGGCTATGATTACCAATCATTCATTATTATAATATTGAAGTATTTAGTGATAAACCGTAAATATTAAATTGGAATATGTATGTTTGTTTTTGTTTGTTTTTCTTTCAGTAGCCATGTAATAGGTGAACATAACAACATAAATATCAGATGAATTATGTAAATAAACATATTTAATTTGTATATCATATCTTTTTGTATAAATATACACATACACAGCAAAACAAGATCATCATTTGATTATTATTATGATTATTACTTATAACAGTTAATCAGTAGTATACAACACATGAGAAAATGTAAACACGTAAATGAAACAAAAAGGGGAAACCTCATTCTATAATTCTTTGGGAATTATAGAGGAAAATATTAGGAAAAGATACGAAGCTGCAGGAGAAAACATTAGAATAAACAACGAATAAATAAATATCATGAATAGAATGAAGACATCCAATTAAGAAAAGGAAACGTTCAGTCGGGGGAGGGTTTAAAAAAAGTTCCAATAAAGATCACAGAAATAAATTAAAAGATTTCACTTTAATACTTATTACATTTTGGCACACTAATTTAGCTTTTCTCTGTATTACTCAAGTTTTCTCTCTGTGTGTGTGTGTCTCAGTTACTTTCACTAGAATATATATATACACATATAGGACAAAGTGAACCATTACAATAGATCTATACTGAATCCAACATAGTGGTAACTTCAAAATCAGTATCAATAGAATCAAAATCTTCACCAACAGCTAATGCAACAGCATCAATTGCTTCAGCTTGTTGACGAGCGAATACACCACGTAAATAATTAATTAAACAACTATCAATAAAAATTGGTCGAAGTGTATTATGATTTGAATGAGGACAAGTAAGTTTAATTAATTCTGGAATAAAATGTCTATGAATAATTTCAATAGATAAACGATCATTAGCATCTTTTTGTAAACATGAATGAATAAAATATATAAATTCAGATGAGAAACAATATACTGGTAAACGTGGAGCTGGTTGTTCTACAATATAGGTAAATAAATTGTACATACCAATAGTTGATCGACTTTTTGGATCTGTAAGTGCTGAAATGTAATGTAAGACAGAAGCTGATAAAAAGTTCAAATATATATTAAGAGTAGGTTATTTCTACAGTGAATAAACAAACCAGTATACTTAAGAATACAGAATAACAATTATTTTTAGAGAAAAAAAACTGTTATACTTGTTTATTTTAACATCAATTATACCATGAATTGATATTCACTAAAGAACCACTGGAAACCACAGAGTACAGTAGAATATTTTAGAGGTTTTTAAGTAAGTAACAATTAATTTGAAACATATCGAAATAAGTTAAACAGTTGAGATCATGAGTCAATTGAAGCTAGACCACCATGGAAAACCTGAAAGCACTGGACGGCCGTTTCGTCCTAGTATGGGCTCCTCAGCAGTTATGAGGTAGTAACTCACTAATGACAATGGTGGATGTGTCGCTCAATTTCGTGGATTAGTTGAAGTTAGACATTAACACGCCGGCTCAGTGGTCTAGTTGGTTGAGCGCCTGGCGCGAGACTGACAGGTCCTGGGTTCGAATCTAGCTAGGCGGGGTCGTGAATGTGCACTGCTGAGGAGTCCCACAATAGGACGAAACGGCCATCCAGTGCTTCCAGGTTTTCCATGGTGGTCTAGCTTCAGTCGACTCATGATCTCAACTGTTTAGATTACTACAATCTCCACAAAACCCCTTCTGATATCAAAATAAATTTAACATTTAAATGAATAATACCTCAGAAGAGATATTATTAAGACTTGCTCCTTCGGTGAAACTAATAAAACATCTATACACACATAGTACTAACACACTTTATCCAAAGACACTGTCTGACTGTTAAGTTATAATTTGTGCTAATGTTATCAATGTATATAGGTCTACTAATTCAGACAGTTAACTTTCATGAGATATGTAGTTATTACTACTATTACTGTTTCTGCTAAAGAGACCTCAGATCATCTACCATTTTTGTTATTAAATATTAGTTATTTTCTAGAATGATAACCGTGACAACTTTATTGATTTATACCTCAGAGCTGACATTTTCAGATATTTGATTGGTTGTTATAACTTTTAGTCTGCTAATTTTACCAAGTGTCCCAAAGTTATGTTTTGTTTTTATATACAGAGAATTCTTTAGCTTCAAATTTAGCCTCTTGAATATCAAACTTTTTTGAGCACCCGTCTTCTCCCTATATTCCTTACCAAATTCGAATTAATTGTTACAGTTGTATGTGTGTTAGCTATCCAGTCTATCGAGTCCGCAGTAAATCCAGTTCATATTAGAAAAACAATTCAATCGATCGTAATCAGTTCATCATGGATGTCCACTCTATCTATTCTTGCTTAACTTTGTCGTTGACATGCTTTTATAGATAACACTTTCCTCATCTAAATTTCCAGGGGTTGTACTTTTACCGGGAGATTCACTTGTTGATTTAGAACATGTCGATGACTAATCCTATTTGGTGAAGACGCTGACAAAATGCAGAGTCTTCTGACCACTCTAAGTAACAATGCAAGCATGTTCGGGATGCGACTCTCACCCTCGAAATGCAAAATGTTGCTTCAGGATTGGATGGCATCAACACCTGAACTAATGATAGGGAGTGAAGTAGTTAAACGTATCGACCGCTTCATTTATCTTGGAAGTCTCATCAGCCCTTATGGTCTGGTGTGTGACGAAATCTCAGCACGGATACAGAAGGCCCGACTAGCTTTTACCAACTTGCGTCACTTATGGCGTAGGCGAGATATCCGTCTACCAACCAAAGGACGTGTTTACTGCGCAGCAGTTCGTTCCGTCCTACTTTATGGAAGTGAAACATGGCCGGTAAGAGTACAGGATATTCGTAGATTACTAGTATTCGATCATAGGTGTCTTCGAAACATTGCTCGTATATCCTGGGACCATCGAGTAAGTAACGCAGTTGTTAGAAAACGGGTATTAGGTAAGGATGGCAAATCAATTGATGAAGTAGTGAGAATTCATTAGTGGAGATGGCTGAAACGTGTTACGTATGCCCAACCACCGACTGCCTCGATGTGCGATGTTTTTTTGTATAGGAGTATGTTGGAAGAAAGCTAGGGGCGGCCAGACCAAAACATGGCACAAGTCCATGAAGTCACTGACAAGTGGTCTGAACCATGTTGGTAGGTGTAGACTACCCGGTTGGAATCCATGAAACGATAGCAACCGATGGTTAGAGACCTTGAATGACATGGCTCAAAATCGTTTGCAATGGCACAGGTGCATCCACTCTTTATGTTCTCCCAAACCTAAACTTCCGGATTCTTCATGTTCCTCTCTTTATCCTTCCAAATATATTTCACTGGATTATACTCCTTGAATAACATCTTCAAACCCTAATCGTTCCGATTACTCCTTATACTTTTACTACCTCTACCACTATGGGATTTGAATCAACAATTGTATCTGTGTGCTAATGTGGTATGACAACTTGAACTGATGTACGTACGTACGAAGTTCTACGTTGTTGCTGACTGACTGACTGATTGACTGACTGACTGACTGACTGACTGACTGACTGACTGACTGACTGACTGACTGACTGACTGACTGACTGACTGACTGACTGACTGACTGACTGACTGACTGACTGACCGACTGACTGACTGACTGACTGATTGACTGAATCAGTAGTTAATTTAGCCTAATCCTTAGAAACTTAACAATTTCATAAATGTGAACTACATTTCCCTGTATCCAGCATTAACAAATTGTTTATAGAGTAATGAATATTTGATTTGATTTTCTTTTACTTTTTTAGTGTTATTTTCAATATTTGTTTTTATCAAATTAAGATAAATCCTGACCAGATATATATTTCTACAATAGATGTATATGCAAACTGGATAATGTTTTAACCGTCATGTTTTACACTTGTCAACAACTGTTTTGATATCAATATTTATTTTGGGAATATATTATACTTGTGAAAATATGTAACATTTCAAAACTAGTAAACAAGTAATATAAACCTTATGCTATGTTCAATATGTAAATAGACAAGTAAACCTTTTGTGTATCAACCTAATAAACACAGAAACACACACACGCGCACGCGAGAGTAAACAAACCAAAAGAATAAATGAACAAGATTATATTTATCAGACGTTCAGAATACAAACATTAGCGTTAAGATTTGATCTGATCTGATAGTGAAGAAAAAAATTGCATTGTCTAATCATCATGTTATTATTCAGAAACATTAAAACTAAGCAACAAATGTAATATGATTAGTCTTATTAGTAATCTATGCAAATTCTTCTCAGAGCTGAGAGTGACAGATACTTTGTATCTTACCAAAATAACTAAGACAATTGCACATGTTTACAGACCTTTCAATATCAGTGTTATACTAAATATCATAACTGTTTTAGGAATCAATCAACTGAATCCTCTGTTTTTTAGATTCAACGATTTAATCAAGGTTTAAGAACTGATAAATTTTCACTATCCTTGTATGCACTCCAACAAAATGTAGTACAGATGAGCATTTTCATAGACTAAACGCGTGTTTGATAGATACTGTGGTGCTAACTGTAAACATGAATGTACAGATCGGGAGTCTAGAAACAGGAGTAAATTGTCTGTATGGTTAGTGAATACTTACTGAACACAAGTGTTTCATACATCTACACATAACACATCTGATGGGTACAAAAATATACCAGGGTTATGAATGATGTACTACCTAATGTTATCTCTTTGAAACTCAACCTTGGTAAGGATGTGTACAACACTCTTGCTAATTTTACGATATCCACCTAAATTTTGATGTTATAGTATAAGTCAAACTCAGCGTACTAATGAAAAAGACTACATCTATTATTAATAAGAGATTAGGAAAAAATATCTTGTACAATGATTTATAAATAACTAGATGAAAACAGATGAATAGTACAAAGGAGAATTTGTTTCACTTACCAGGTAATAATTCACCAGTTTTTGCAGCTCTAAAATGTTCAAGCATGTTTGTTTCTTGATCTGGCGCAAATGCACGTACAAAATCAACTGGATCAATAGATGGGATTGGATATTGTCCAATAGCTAATTCCATTAATGTCAATCCAAGACTCCATATATCACTAGCTGCACTGAATAGTTCACCTGGAAACAATAGTAAATAAACATTTAACAAATAGAAAAAGACAATTTAGTAAAAGTAGTTAATAGAATATTACATTGAGTCAACGATTAAAAAAACTGAAATATTATCAATACATACATACTATATATTAAAATATTTCGTAGCGAAACATTGAGATAAGAAACATAGAATCTAACATATATGTGAATCGGTTCACGTCGCCGTACCCCATAAGCACAGTGAGACAGGACTATTTCAAGACAAATTCTAGAGTGTTAAGAGGAGCAGTAGAAAAGACTAGATCCCGAACGCCGAAAAAAGGTATTTGGGGACTCAGGGAAAACAAGGCGTGAACATACCAACACCATGGCAAACGAATTTGAGCCGTCTGATTCAAAGTCTCTTAACATTGGTTACGGTAATCACGCGGGTACAACACAGATGGTATACACTGAGCCACCTATTAAAATGGCTCAGGCCAAGTGTCAATGACTTCGTGAATTAGTGCCACATCTTAGTTTTGACGTTTTGAGCTTTCTTCCAACATACCCCTACGCCACACAACACCACCCATCTAAGGTTAACAATGTTTGTGCATACGTAACACACTTCCCAACCACCTCAGTTGATGAAGATTTACTACCTCATCAACCGATTTCCCATCTTTACACAATACAATTTCTCTAGCCCAGGCATTACTTACTTGGCGGTCTCAAAATACACGAGAAATACTTCGAAGAGACCTATGACCGAATACTATTAACCTACGAATATCCTTTATCCTTGATGACTGTGTTTGCCACTCATGAAGTACAACGGAGAGAAATACTGGGCAGTGAACTCGTCTTTCGGTTAGCAGACGGATGCCTCGCCTACGCCACAAGTGACGTAAGTTGGTAAAAGCCATTTGGGGTTTTTGAGTCCATCCCCAGAATTTGTCAGACACTGAAAACAGCCCAGGGACTGATGAGACCCCCAAAAAAAGTAAAGCGGTCGGTACCCAGAAACCTCACTTCTTATCATTGATTCAGCTGATGACGCAGGCCAGGTCCGCGGCGACATTTTGCATTTGAAGGGGGAGAATCGTATCTCAAACATACTTGTATTGCAGCTTATTGTGGTCAGAAGATCTTAAAGTCAGACGATGAAAGTGTTATCTCTAAAAAGATACCTATGAAAAATTTAGATTAAAAAAATGAAGTGGATAGCCGAGACGAACACCACGTTAGGTTGAAAAAATGAGAAGTAGACGAGGGAAATTAATTTCATATTAAGTGGGAAACTGAATACGAGAAATAGTCAAAAGAGAAAACGTAAAATTGAATACTCAAAAACATGAGATGATACTTAACATTAAGAAAACAATACAAAATGAATGAAACTAAACCACTATGACCGATTTTAAATCATATTGTGGTGTGACCTACTTATATCCACTCAGGTAGTATAAAACGATAGTCAGGAATAGAATGTATTTCAGTAGAAGATCGAGAAGGCAAGAACGGAAACAGAAAGCAATCGGTATGAAAATGCACGAACAATAAAATGAGACGATGGACTGCTATTTTACAAATTAAGTATTTACTGTATAGTTCACAGATTTTAGTGAGATATTCTGTAACTTCGCCTTCTAATACATTCGGTTGTCCCCACTCGTGTTCTTATTCACTACAATATCACCTAGCATTTCGAGTGAACTTCAAATAAAAATGTTCGCTCCTTAGATAAACAGTCAATAATTTCATGGATTAATGTCACGCTGTGATTTGTCAAAAATTAAACTTTTCACAATTTTATTGTGTTTGAATCTTTATGAAAAATATCATATAGATTATGAAAACACTGAAATAAAACGATTAAAGTTATTTTAATGACTTAAAAGATCAAAAAAGGTTTTCGAAGTGAAATTGCCCGTTATCTTTAACCAATAGAAAAAAAACAATGTAAACTAGCTCATTTCACAGGTTGAAATCATGAGTTAATTGAAGCTAGAACACCATGGAAAACCTGAAAGCACTGGACGGCCGTTTCGTTCTAGTACGGGACTCCTCAGCAGTGCGCATCCACGATCCCGCACCCCGCGGGGTTCGAGCCCAGGACCTATTGGTTTCGCGCGAGAGCTGCTGAGGAGTCCCGTACTAGGACGAGACGGCCGTCCAGTGCTTCCAGGTTTTCCATGGTGGTCTAGCTTCAATTAACTCATGATTTCAACCTGTGAAATTTCTGAAAATCTCCACAAAACCCATTCTGATAGTTAGCTCATTTACCAGGAACTTGTGTATGAGCCACATTCTAATTGTACGAACTAATGATACTATCTGGGTAGAGAGAGGTCCGGATCTAGAACTTAATAGCTGAAAATAAAATGTTTTGGCCTATAAGTCACCTTTCCACAATATAGAGAATCATCAATTGATCAATCATAAATAACTCAATAATACCAAGTGGTATACACATCTGTTGATGAAGTAGGATCCAAGAAATGTTCTTAATCTATGGACAATGACATTGAGCTACATAGCTTAGAATCGATTATAATGGTGCAGTTACATACATAGTTAACATTTTTTTCTTGAACTTAGCATTATTCCACACATTATCTTGAAAATAACGAGATTTACACAAAACAGAAATTTACTTTAACTATTTTTTTTCTTATTACTGAAGACATAATGCCAAAAAATATGCAATGAGTTAAAAAGTAAATGAATGTAATGATGAAATCAACAATTTCAAAGAAGACAAACAGTAGAAATTGTTTACATAACATAATGTCAATTCATATGAGATAAATAAATTGAACTTATTAATTATTATTATTATACATTTATTTCATTTAAACACATAAACATTGGTACAAGGAGGCACGAAATAAATATGCGCCACATAAATCATTCATTTATATGAGGGTTGGGATAATGCCCAGATGCCTAAACCGAAACAGGTGGTTTTCTTAGGAGGTCACACCACGAGCCATCGACCTAAAGGTCTGATCCACAATGCAGTGGAGCAACGTATGCAGATGTAGTCCCATGGTAGCCGGTGACTAATAATTCATTCATACAGTCAGTCAGTCACCATTTGTACCCTCAGGATCTGGGGGCCCATACGCACCATTAGTTTGGAATCAAGGTTTTCCAACTCCCCTACGTGGATCCCCCATATCCACCAACTCGATTAATAATAATAATAATAATCAATATTGTTAGTAAACGTGTTTTTATCAAATCAAATCATAAACACAATGTACACATAAGTAATAACTAAAATCAACAACAGAAAAAGGAACTAATTATATTTTGATCTTCTGCCAAAAGCAAACAGGTTAGAAAAAAGAGAAAAAACAAAGAAAGAAAAGAGAAGTGTTTACAATATTCCTCAATAGTTTATTAACTTTATAATGGACACAATTAATTGTATGGTAAATTAAGAAGAAAGAAATGAAATTTTATTACAATGAAATGACGATCTTTTTTTAAGAATAAACATTAGAAAGTTCATATATACAAGAGATATTCTATGATGTTCTTACAAATGATAATATGTAGTGAATGTAATGAATAATAATTTACATAAGGTAAACTAATACAAACCTATAAAAAATTTCTTAACAAAATATGAAAAGTATACACATTATAAATACATTTTCGTTTCTTGCATATCTTCTTTCTATTACCCTTTACATACTATATGATTCTTCTAATTCTGTTGTTTGGCCTTCACCAACTTACGTCACTTATGGTGAAGGTGAGATATCCGCCTATCAAAAAAAGACGAATATACTGCGCAGCAGTTCGTTCTGTTCTACTTTATGGCTGAGAAATGTGGTCACTAAAAGTAAAAGATACTCGTAAGTTACTAGTATTTGACCATAGATGCCTTAGAAATATTGCTCGCATCTGCTGGGATCACCGAGTAAGTAATAGTGATGCTAGACGTAGAGTATTAGGAAATGATGGTAAACCAGTTGACGGGGTTGTGAATCTTCATCGACTGAGATGGTTGGGCTACGTGTTGCGCATGCCTGAACACCGATTACCACGACGCGCAAAACTAACCAGTGTTCGGGATGGTTGGAAGAAAGTTAGGGGCGGTCAAACCAAAACGTGGCATCAGTGCTTGAAGTCACTAACTTCTGGTCTGAGCCATGTTGGTAGATGCAGAATACTTGGTTGGGGTCCGCGTGACTGTCGTAACCAATGGTTGGAGACTTGGTGACATGGCTCAGAATCGATCACAATGGCGTCGGTGTATACACTCTTTGTCTTCCCTTAAACTATAAGATTAAAATCGCTTCATATCTTTCTTTCTACGAACTAACTCCTTCTCCCGTACTACATCCTTATATGCAATCTTTCTTTTATATATTACCACCATTGACTTAACTACTTCTATGAATCCGGTTTTCATCTTGTTGTGCTAACGAGGTGTGGCAACTTGGACCGATGCATATATGTGCCTGATCCTGCGTTGTAGCTGACTGACTAATTATGTTGTTATTCTAATTATTAAACGGAATACACTCATTAAGACATTAAAGAAGAAAGATTAGTTCAGCGAAGAGTTCTCTTTTCGGCGAATCCATTTTCAAAGCTGTACAATCGCAAATATATATACTTATTTACCTGCTCATGTGGAGCTGGGTATATAGGTCGTTCGATGTGTACTTTATCAAAAACAAATCAAGAACATTGTCCGGAGTGGCTAAAAAAGGAGGCAACGGCTCAATAAGAAGTTCAGTAATCGAACACTATGTGAACACAGACTATGTATTCAAATTCATCTACAAGATAAGTAGAAGTCTTCCAAAGATAATCAGACTGTATCTTCTTTGCACTGCCGAAACATTAGCCATACATCTGGAAAAACCAGAATTGTATGTGCTAAAGAGACTGGTACAACTCCTTCTTCTACCATGATCTTACTGCCTTATAATTTTTTCTTTTCTTTTTTTCTCTTCCTTGATACTCTTCTTCCTTTATAGCCACTTGCTTCCCCTTAAATCTCCTACCCCCAACCATTTTATTTCTGTTTCTATGATCTTCTTTATCACATTCAATTTCAATTTCAACATTTTATCTTCCCATGCTGAGCCATCCTTTCCCAATGATAATTTCCCTATCTACCTTTTGATGAATACGTAAGCCAATAACAATCAAACGATTATTAAACATTCCTTGTTTTAAAAAAACATTTTTAATACCTTTGTTTATTTAATCTCACTGTCACCATGTCTAACAGAAGTTTATTATCAGTATTATTATCATCCTGTAAAAATAAGTATATATATTTGCGATTGTACAGCTTTGAAAATGAATTCGCCGAAATGAGAACTCTTCGCTGAACTAATCTTTCTTATTTAAATTCTGATTATTTTCTATTTCCTTATCTGTTCTTCATAATTTGAACCTCTGTTTGCAGGTATTTGACTTATGATTCTCACTATATACTACTAATATCTGCCAGTATAAGTAGCATTCGCCATAAAAATTAAATTAACTATCCAATATAATCAGAAGGGGTTTTGTGGAGATCATAGTAATTTCAATAGTTGAAATCATGAGTCAACTGAAGCTAGACCCCCATGGAAAACCTGGAAGCACTGGACGTCCATTTCGTCCTAGCATAGTATGGGTTGAAGCTAGACATTAACACCGTTGGATTCCGGCTCAGTGGTCTAGTAGTCAGGATCTCGTGCGCAAGACTGACAGGTCCTGGGTTCAAATCCCGGGAGGCGGGGTCATGGATGCGCACTGCTGAGGAGGAATGGGCTGAAAGAAAATAAACAGAGTTGTAATGTTGTAATAGACGGTATCGAAGTTGTTCTTAAAGTTATCACTGTCATCTCACTCCTTAACAGAGTTGAATTATATTCCTGAGTTTATAATGTTGACTGTGTTTTAACCTAAATAGATTATCACTTATTACAGAACCATTTATTACTTACGAATATTTTCATACAAATATTCTAAGAAATCAAAATAGTTTTCTGATTTGATCAGCGTCAAATGAGTTATTTTAATGAATTTAACACACACCCGATGGTAAAATGGTTCCTAATTATTAACTAAGAAATATCCAAAAAAACTGAAGTCATTCAAATCAGATCAAAAATATCGTACACATCGAGGTTTTACCTACCTGCCAGACGTTCAGGTGCTATGTAAGTGGAGAATCCTAAAAATCCAGAAGCTACATATTCACTCAGCTGCAAACTGACGACAAAATCACATAATTTAATAGTACCAGCACGATTAATGAGTATATTGGATGGTTTCAAATTACTAAAAACAATAAATTTTAAAAACAATTTAAACAATAAGCAAGTTAGTGTAAGGTGTTTGTGGAGTTTGTAGTTTACTATACAAACTGACCTTCTTTAGATAACCAATGAAAACCATAAAGCACGGGACAGATGCTTCACCTTAGTATGAGACTCCCCAAGAGTATGCATTCAGGACACATCCGGGGATTGAACCCAGGATATTAGGGTCTCATGGAGTGAGTCTGACGTTTATACCACGGAATCGGTGTATCCAGTGGATTCGCACCAGTGTCATTTATAGATGGTCGTTAGATAAAGAACTGACCGGAGTTATTAACGTAAGTCACTGTGATTCCGACTCTCATTGATCTAGAGATTAAACACTTCTTCAAAGATTGGAAAATCCTACGTTCGATGTCTGATAGGAATGCGGATTCGAATTCTAGGACGAAGCCGCAATCTATCCAATGCTATCTGATTTTCGTTGGTAGTCTAACTAAGGTTAGTTTGTGATGCAAAATAACCGATTCATAACAGATTTTCACTGAAACTGAAAGAAAATTCTCTCAATGTATGAAATTATTATTATTACTATTATTATTTAAACACATAAAAATTGGTACAAGGAGGCACCAAATACATATGCGCCACACAAATCTCATTCGATGTGTGTGAGGGCTGTGATACTGCTCGGGTGCCCAAACCGGAGCAGCTGGTTTTCTCAGGGGGTCACACCCCGAGCCTTCGACCTAAAGGTCTAATACACAAGAGTAGAGCAGCATCAGGAGATACAGTACCATGGTAACGAGTGACCAATAATTGGTTCACACGCGATTTTTCCCTCAGGATCTGGGAGCCCCTGTGCACAATTAGTTTGGAACCAGGGTTTTCCAAATCCCCTAAATGGATGCTCCATATCCACCAACCTGGTCAGAGCGCCGGACGTTCGCTTTTCGTCCTCTCGATTTCGTAGAAAACAACCTCATTGCTAGAAGGCAGTCAGTAAAACGTCCCCGATAGTGGTTGTATGCACGTAGCCATGTGAGAGCATTTCGAGAGAGAGAGTGGACTCTTCCCACTCTCGGCCGTACCAGGGCGTTTGGGGGTAAAATATCATATGTATGAATTAATAACATAAAAAAACAAATTTCAAAAACACTATTATTAAGTGCTACAGATGAGATCCACTAATTACACTTTTTAATAAATATTTTCAGTTGACAACACAACAAACTATCTTTTTATTGTTATATGGACATTACTAAAATGCCTTGACGCTACGGCTGAGCATTTTGAAAAAAAAATTTACTCATTTGTGAGAAATTTTGAGGTGACTTATGCAACCTAGAAATAAGTTGTACATTGTTCAGTCATTTTATGATTAATTGAAGTACTTTTCTCTATTAATAAATCGAAGAATGACAGTGCGATCAACTGTCAAGTATAACTAAACCGATGAATATGGACAGGTAGTTGAAAAAGTTATTCTTAATTATCAACAACATTCATCGAATGAATATGAACAGTTCGAAGATCACAGAAATAATTCAAATTTGTGTGGTTAATTTTGATCTTCTTAAAATGATTATCTCTTCGGTATTCAGATGAAATAAATAGATCAGCTTTTCTGAAACTATATCATTTTAATTTTTGCTTTCAAATAACAGTCAGTCAGTCCAGCCAGCTACAACGTAGGACCAGGCACATATATGCATCGGTCCAAGTTGCCATACTTGAAGTTGCAAAAGCAGATGACAGTTCGCCATAAGCTCTGACTCGACTAGTAGTGTTTGAGTAAAGAGCTGTAAAGAGATGTTATTTGAGATAGATGTTATGTTATTTCAAATAACATCTATTTAGCCATTATGAATCTTCATAAAAAGTCATAAATTACTGGGGGGAAAAACAAAGTAATCACCACACTTTCGGGTAGCTTCTTATTATTTAAATGTGTCTGTAACAGCGAGACGTCTTGATGCGATAGTGGGAACATTTTAGTTAGAAATGTAATGGTCTTTCTTCAACTAATAAATTAAACATACGACACAAAATACGACAATACCATTAAGGACATACTTCGAGCGGTAATATTAAAAATAACAACTAATAACTTATAATAACCCAAAAATTTCTGAATCTCTCGAAAAATGTAAATACAAACTAAGAGATGGAAATCCACTGAGTAAGAAAAGAGTAACATATGTATGTGGCTGTCATTGTGATACACACCTTGTTTAGTTCTGTAAGAATAACTAAATACCAGTCATTCACCTGAAAATTTCTAATTCATACAGCTCATGAGACAAATCTTATTTAAGCTGTTCCTATCCTAATTAATTTGCACAGAAACAATACAAGAATACTCGCTTTACAACGAAAGCCAACAGTACATGGCTTGAGTGAATAATTTTACGGATTTCCGTGAGCTACTGATTAAGTAGCATAAGTAGCATATAGAGCTAATCAACATTTTAATTAACGATGGAAGCATATAGATAGGAAACGAGAAGTTAAACTCTGAAAACAGTAGTTCAAGAAGATATACATTTAATGGCTTCCGATAATTGGAATTCCTAAAACCGACGCATAATATTCTTTCCTTATCTCGAGAAATACGTTATGATAAATAGTAAGGCATGTTGCTCAAGTTTTCCAAGTAGTCATTTCTTACTTGGTGCGTAATCCTTGCAAATATCCAAATGAAAACCAATACTATACTTGGCAACCTTAAATAGGCAGTTTTCTAGAATGACTCGGCTTCAGCTCTCAGTACTGTCAAGCGTTATCGTGGTCAATAGATACAAATGACGTTAAGCTCAAAAAACATGTCCATGACATGTGTTGAGAAGACATCTTAGTTCTGAAAGACTAAACACATCTAATTTGAACAGTTTATGCGTTACTTTCGAGTTCGTTTATGAGGAATAAATAGGTGATAAGTTGAAACACTTTACTACTTAGATTAATAAGTTAATGTTCAGTTTCTTCTTGAGGCCTAACTATTCGATTATCAGACACTTGACAAAAACTTACCAACTTTGGTCTAGGAAACCTGAAGATATCATAAGTACAACATGCGAACTACGAAGTTAGAGGGGGTTTTCAAATTTTAATTGTTTACTGGGTATTTGATCCACAATGAAAGACTTCGACTACCTGTTAAACATTGTAACTAGATGTAAGTACGAATAGTTGAGTAAGACAATGTTTATTTGAAAATTTGCTTTTGCACTTAGTCAAACCTGAGCTTAGAAAGCTAGAAATCTACTTTCAAAAGTAGCTGATCAACGAGTATCAGACTGACATGCTATGTTTAAATATGTTTAATTCATTTAGCCCTTATAAATGACTACCGAGAACTGTTTATGTGACTCTTCCAAAACAAGTTAAGCCAAACTGTTTTCCCCTTGTAAGAAAAATATTACATTGACTATTACTTACCGATGAAACATATGCAACTCTTGCCAGAGGTAAAGTAGACCTGATACAACTGAATCAGCAATATGAATTAAAATTGGTTCAGGGAAACGTCCTACCATTTTCAATAGTAAATCCATTCCACCAACATCCATATACTCCATATATATACTTATTAAACATTCAGAATGTATTGCTCCATGAAATTCAATTATATGTGGTGATATACACTCCCAAAGGACCTAATTTAAATTAAAACGGAAATAATTACATATTTATAGGAAATAAAGAAAACACGATTTACCCTAAATATAATCATCATTATGACAAAGTAATTTATCCGTATACTTTGGTTCTTGGATTTGATCAAAGAATAAAATTGTTGAGTCGGCTTTCCAAGAACTGCAACGGAGCCTCCAGAGGCTCTAAAGGAGCCGAAGAGTCCTAGCCAATCAGAGCATGATAGAGCTTTCTAGAATGTCAACGTGGCGTGCTACTATTGGTCAGTAGCATAATATGTCTTCTAGCGGATTGGCCAAAATATGATGTTGATTTAACAAATGTTAACATTTATAAATACCCGTGTTTTTCTGTACAAAAATGAACCTTTGGAGTAAAGTGTTTTTCGCTTATTTTGGGACTTTTCTCTCGAGTTCAAGTCGCTGCGTAGTTCAATCTTGAGGGTTACCAGAATAGCTTAGGAACCGAATAAAACGTTCAAATTGACAAGACTTATCAAAAATCCAATAGTTAAATAAACCAATAAAATATTACAGGTTGTATATATGAAGCAGGTTATTATAATAAATTAAATCTAGGTATCGCACTTGACAAAGGTTTCTAAGTACCAACAAAATTCTAGGAAATTTGTGTAATTGTAATTTAAACTGCCCTAGTTCTATAAATTCATAAAGATGTAAAGAATCTCTTAAGTTACAAAATAAACATGTATCGTCCCGAAATTTTCGATATGATCCAAGTAATATTATCAGTCAATAACTTTATAAACTGATATCATTTATCTAACTGATCATTCTCTGATTTGGTTCGATCATCCGGATAATACTAGCCATCACACATAAATTGTATGGCTCAAAACAGAGTGCATGACTTTGTGCTTGTTCAGTAAATTATTCTCTTTAGAGTTAATATACCTCCCCCAACCCTATCATCAGTACTTGGTACAAAATACATTGATGAGAAAAAGATAGGTGAGGTTAGATAACAATATTATTTAACATGAATACATGTAATATCATAAAATAAATAAAAATGAAAAAGAAAAACTTGAACTACTTGTAAATCTCTAACAATCTGTGCTCTTGTAGTAGTTTTTACATCTAATTCAAATGTTTTTCTAATTAAAAATGTACCAGATGATTTATGTTGTAATTTTGTTACAATTCCACCATTACCACGACCTAATTCAGATATTAATAATAAATCATCTATATTGAAATCTGGTACTAAACGTCGACGACCAGAATCACCTGGACTTGATGTTTGTGAATATTCAATAGATGTTGCATTAGATGAACTACTTAATGAATTGTTATTATTAGTTGGACTTTTACAACGTGTAAATGTTTGAAGTGTTTCTGATTTATTCTCATGATTGGTTGATTGTGAATTTATAGTTGTAGAGCTGTAGAAAATAAATAGAGAAATATAAGTGATAGTAGAATTATATAATCAATGAAAGCATGAGTGCTATATAACATTTTAAAACTTAGGAAATGAAGTAAGCACTGGAATCAGAGTTATTCTTTCTAAATCTAGCTATGAAACCTCTAGGTTTTAAGTTAAGTCACAAAATAAGTTGATAAGTTACAAGCTCATTAACTTTGGATTTCAATACGCTAGTAAATTAACTTAAATTATATTCTTTAACAAGTTAAACAGTATTTATCAACAGGTTAGTTGATTCAGCAAAGTAGATGAAGACTGAACAGATAAATGAACTTACAAGTTCCCCGTCGAATGATTTACAAGATTTCATAATTGATATATTTGATAATGAATTTACGATCATTATAGTCTCTTGAGGACTCACTATTCCTAAATTTACAGAATATCAGTTTATAAAGAAGGGACGCTACGCCCTTAACCAAATCGATTCTCTAAACTCATAAATTGCCGAGATGGTAAAAAATATCAACGAGAGAATTTACGTGGTAGGAGATCTCCCTGATAAATTAAGAGAACAATATCTGGACTATGTGGAGATTATTGTTAACTCAAGAAAAAAAGGAATGAAACTTAAGAAAAATCTAGACAAACAGATTCCAGAAATGAAATTTCCATCTAATCCAAGTCAGTACGTACACAATTTCTCTAATGTTATGCTGGATAAAACTGCGTTAGAAGCGTTATCATTAGGCCCTAAGTTTTGTGACTTTAAGAAAACAGTCAATAAAATGGACGTTGAAATTCGATTCGAAACTCTTTATACTCAAGCGGCAGAACTAGTAACTTCATCAAAAGATAATGTCGAAAGGTTTAAATCAACACTTGTCGACTGTTGTTTTAAATACTTAAATCATAGACATAACACGAAAGGGATTTTGACGAAAAAAAAATGCAGAAGCTGTAAGAAAACTTGAAACTAATGACAATTCATTAATCACGAAACCGGACAAAGAACATGGGATAGTACTCATGGATGAAAATAACTACATAAACAAAATGAAAGCACTTTTAAATGATAAAAGTAAATTTCAGAAACTGGCTGTGAAGAACGACGTAGTAGATAAGATTGAAAAGAAATTAACAGATTCACTGAAAGAAATTAAACAACAAGGTTTTATTTCAGAAAAGGTGTTCGAAATGTTGAAACCTACAGGAACGATTACACCAAGACTATATGGCCTACCAAAAATACACAAAAGCGGTTTGCCCCTTCGACCAGTTTTAGATATGAATAAATCAGCGTATCATACTATAGCAAAATGGTTGGTGCAAATTCTTAAACCATTACACAAAGAAATTGTCAAGAATAGTGTCAAGGATTCTTTTGAATTTGTTGAGAACATAAAAAATCTATCAGTCAAGAATAATTTCATGATATCACTTGATGTATCGTCCTTATTCACTAACATTCCACTACTGGAAACGGTTGGTTTTATTTGCAATGAATTAAGAGAGAGGCGCATAGAAACCTCGATTCCAGCATCCGCGATAAAACAGTTTATTCTTAGATGTACAATGAATGTCCAATTCCGATTTGACAACGAATACTATAGACAACTAGATGGAGTTGCCATGGGATCACCGTTGGGCCTACTACTGGCTGATATTTTCCTTGCAAAACTGGAAAAGCTCAATTCGTTCCTTCTTTATTTACCAAATGGCAAAATGGGAATTTTCACTATATCAATTTATGTTCGGTAGTAGAACTACGAGATAATCTAAAGTTGGATGACAATATATTCCTAAGAAGAATCATGATAGAAGTCATATTTCTTTTTGTAATCCCAATGAACTTTATTGAATGAAATTAATTACACCATAAATGGTATTTCAAAAGAGATTTCTGTTCACTCATCTTACGATGGGGTCAAAAATGGGGATCATAATTTCGACTGTGTGATTTCTATTTGATATTACTTCCACTTTTAATTCGATGTGACAAGTTAGTATTATATTTGTTTTATTTTCAGCATAGTATTTTGTTCGGGATACTATGAATTTTATTCCAATGAGATGCTTATTTAGAATAATATTGCTCGTATTAATTTAGCGTGAACTTCGTCCATTATGATATGCACAATAAGCTTTATATTAATTCTGTGTATCTACCCTATATGTGAGATTTGTTAACTAATCATCACATGTAAAATCGATACATTAATGAGTCTATTTATCAAAGAGATAGATGTGTTTTGAAAGGTAAAACAAATTTTCATCAATGCCAACTTTGTTTTCTAATTCGCACTATGCGAATCGGAGTATTCTCCTTATCCAAGTATTGTTAGTCTCGTGGTTACAACGATTTAGAAAATGTTACTGTAAAAATAGCTAAAGATCTAAATTACAAAAAACTTCCAACATATATTTCTGATCTTACAATTTTGTATGTAATTTATTAATTGTGGAAAGAGAATAAATAAATTATGATGAAATGTTCACTAATCATACCAACTGAACAGTCAGGCTATGTGAAATGAAGTTAGCGATTAACAAACATTTGTTATGTTAAACTGAACAAGCAGAAAGTCTACATCTACCACCACACATGACTCAGATCTATAGCCATTGATTTTCACAGACTAGTACCATGTTTTGGTTTAGCTGTCCATAGCTTACAATTGATCTGTTCCCATACTAACCGAAAAATTGCACTGAATTAATAGGATTAGATTTAAGATCTAGAATTAAACACAATGGTTATGACGGCGAAGTCTTCACGCAACAAACATTAAAGAGTTTAACTCTATATAAAGTGTGCTATGGCGATATCAACACGTTTCAAGAAAAAACACCCAAAAGATAGTGAGGTTGCAGCTCATTAGTTTATATAAACAGCTTTCAAATATCGAGTCACAAGTAAGAAAATTGAGAGATTTCAGTGTAGTGGCCCGTTAATCTGACTCCGATTTGATTGTATGAAGTTAACAAAATAAGCACTCCGCCTACTGTTGTATACAATTATCGACTTAATTCGCGTTACAGAATAACAAAATAAAACAAGCCAAACACGAGAATGAATTTTGAACACGCATATTTGATACACTCGTTACTCCAGACCGATAATAAGAATGAGGAACAGAGAAGGCAAGTTTGTCAACTCAGTTTGATAAAACGTGACTCAATATTTATAACCAGACAAAAGTAAGCTAAAGACACGTGACGAATAAGGTAAGCAATACACATACATATGTTTATGTAAAAACAGTCAAGGTTAATAAGCGAATAACTGAAAAGGTCAAACTGTGACTCAAGAAGAGTAAATAAATTAGTCCGTCCGGAAGCTAGAATAACCCTTGTGGGCTTGACATAGTACTAACCACCACACACGATAAATGAGGCTAGGATACTAATACAGTTGTATGTGTACTACATAATCATGACTTTCTGGAAAGATTAAAATAATATGAACGAAATCTGTCAGAGGTGTACTGAGAAAATTAAAACTGCTAAGATCAAGCAAGAATATAGGATGGAGTAAAACGGGGAAAAACAGAGCATGATAAGAGAGACGGGAAATTGTTTATCCTTTGAATTGGGGAAACTTACGCATCTGTTTCATCTGTGAGTGATTCTGAGATAGTGATAGACACTGTTTCTTGTGAAACATCTTCAACAAGAACCTGAAAAACACACAAAAGGGAAGATAAAATATACCTCTATCTTCATAAGCCATGTGAGTAAGTAATCTAAACATCACTGTGTATCAATACAAATTTAAGTTATTAGAGCTTGTGAGTTATCGTTTTATACACATGAAAACAACTATAAAAGAATTATAGATGAGATCTACACTTGGGACTCTCTAGTCATAAAACAAGACTTTACATATAGTTGTGCCCAAATTACATTCAGTGGCATTCAGATACACTAAAAGTTAAACGAGTGAGAAGCCCATATTCTCTCTTTCGAGGCACTTTTGTGTGACTAAACACAGCGCTAACAGAAAAGTTTTATGTGATTTCTGTGTGATGGCTATCAAGATGAAAAATGCACGTTGTTCGGACCTCGGCCTTGGTTAATAGATATTAAAGACCAGGTAAGAAGTTAAATACTTTAGATCATAAATTAATTAACCCAAAAGTGCATTGAAATCCCAGCGAAATCCTAACTGGTAATTGGTTGTCCTGAACATGAAACCCATCAAATTCTTTCAAATTATTGAAGTAAAGGGTCAAAATGATACCAATATAAGCAGTCAAAAAAATACTGAAATTTCTATACAGTTGATTAGGAAAAACAACGATCGAAAACAACCTAAATAACATCCTAACGTGAAAATTATAATAAAATAGGTTTCGCATTGGACTCTAAGATGTTTTACAACATTCCTACTGCATAAAGCGGTTATTCGTTGATGGAAGTTTTGGTTTTTTCAGTCAGACGAGAGTTACAGAGATACAAAAGCAATATCAAGCAAAAACGTAATTGCAAGAAAGGCAGATAAAAAATAAGAAACGAAAAATATCTCTTCTGCTTTGGTGTGGCAGTTTATATTACTGGTACGAATAGTCACCAAGTGTGAATATTCATATTAGCAAAAGTAACGACCAAGATTTAGAGACAAAATAGTCCCTTCAAATTGACCTCAATCATCAATTATTGCAGTTTTTGGAAAAGACCAGGAATTTTGCAGATAATCACAATATTACCAGTTTAACTTACGAGGTTCGTCATTTGAGTGACCATTAAAGGCATTAATTTAACTTGAAGCAATTAACGGTTAGTCAGTCATACGCAACGTAGAACTCGGCATACATATGCGCAGGTTAGACGTTCCATACCATATTAGCAAAGCGAGACAGAACTATCAAGACAAATCCCAGAGTAGTAAAGTAGTAATTGTACCAGAAGGAGTAGAAAAGATCAGGTATAAACGATACGATCAGAGTATTAGGGAAAAATTTGTGTAACAAAAAAAGGAATAATTTCGTAACTCAAGATTCAAGAGAAGGCAAAGAACCAATACATTCCCACCACTGTGGTCAATTCTGATCAATGCCACCCAGTGTCATTAGCCACTGGTTATAATAACTGTCCCGACGCCAATCAGATAGTCTGGACTAAATAACATGGTTTAGTCTAACTATTAATAACTTCCTTGGAAGCCTGAAAATAGAGGTACAAAACTTGATCAAAACTGTCCGGAACACACCTTCAATTCATTAGGTGATGAAACACTAGCAAACTAATCAGAGGCTTCACGAAGCCCACATTCTTTGACCCGATGGTAGTATTCAACTTAGTTATCATGTTTTGTGGAAATTCGTCCAACAAATATATTACCCTACTAAGACCTTTTACTCAGAACGATAATCCCGTATGGGATAATGAAAGCATCCGGTTTGATCTAACGACGAACGGTAATGGACGATGATGCCAGATACTGATCTTACCATAAATCATTCGAATGCCCCTACCATCGAGGATTGTAGTTACTTGGATTAGTGTACTTCTATGTGGGATTTATAAGTGGATACTTACTTAAAAAGCTTACCCTCTCTCCCCAATATTCTAACTAGCCGCCAAAATCCTTATGAACATGACATTTTTTGACAGGCTTGTTTTGACAGCATGTTTTTGTTTTGTATTTCTCCGTATAGTCTGTTGAAAAGTGAATAATAAATCCTGTGCTTTTCATACTTGACATAAGTGTACAAGCAAATATGAAACCAGGGTTAACGTAAATACAAATTCAATGCTCGAGGATAAATATCTTGGTAAATTAGTCAAATAGATAACGTGTTTAGGCCTTTTTCTAAGTAGCCTAATAAGCCATTTGTACTTGTGGATATTACGAAAGTCAGTTTGTCAGGTGGTGAAAAACTACCTAACTATCCTGCAACAAATGATATTCAGATAATGTAGTTCAGTACAAAAAAACAGTTGAGGTACCTTCTCAGATTGAGTTTCTAGATCTTCGCCAGCAGATGTTTTATCAAGTCTCGATGTTTGGTCGACAACCATAGGTAATATTGCATACCATACGGTAATCGACTAAAACGAGATGGAAATTATGCAAAGTACGAAGCCCGTTGAAACCTATAGAGATTGTATACAAAACAAAACGTAAAGATTGTGAGGGTAGCTAGAAAACATTTACCATGCTATTAAAAGTCGTAGAAATAAGAGAAAAACAAGAAATCAAAACAGTAGTTTTAAATGACAACAAGTATCCGTGTGATATGTAAATTTTAACTTGAACTTTCCTATGACATTACTATTACCCTTCAACTAGTACTTGTATGGGAAGTGACTGATGCATGAATGATCATATATACTGTCTACTGGTTTGTATATTCTGTTGTTTCTACATACGTTTTAATGTGAACACGATTATCTTTTGTTCTTAGACATTAAGGTCATTAAATGTTGTATGATAAAAGTATAATATACTGACGGCCTTGAAATCGACAATCAGAATTAAGATAATACCATGATTAGTTTGGGCAAAGTTCAGAGTGAAGCAGTAGATAACGTGTACGCTGTTATTAACCAAGTGCAAATTGTCAGTAGCTACGTGGATAACGAGATGGCATTTGAAGCAGACAGTACTGGGTTCGAGTCCCGGAGCGAACAACAACTCCGAGGTGCAGGTACACCCAGATGACGAGTCCCAAATAGGGCGAAATGCGCGTCCTGGATTCCTCTGCTAGCCACTATCCATCTTTGCTAATATTTAGTTCTTAAAATACTCGAAATTGACGAAACTATCTATTCTACGAGATACTGAATTCGACATCATGCTTAAGCTAAAATACACGACATACCTGCTCCTGAGGCAGATTGTGTCAACGTACTTAATGCCGTTCAATGAGCAATTAAGGGTGTTTACCAAAGCAACGTAATGTTCTCCCTTTCTCAAAGTCGCACTAAATTTCAAGAGTGTGTTAGCAGGAAGGTGGAAAGACATTGCGTTACGGCTGATGTCAGTTCGTATAGAAAACCCAAACAACAATTTAAAAACCCAACTCAAAACTCTAGCAATTATTACCTAACCCTGACCCTTTTGGATCACAACTGATGTCAGTTTGTGACGAAACCTCTATGGAATGATAAAATCAACTCAACATACCAGCCCGATTCTTAGTATATATATATATATATATATATATATATATATATATATATATATATATATATATATACTCGTGAGGGTTAATTACAATCAAGGCTGTTATTACGTTTTATATTGTTGATTGTCGTGTAACTAAGCAGCGTTTCCTGATTGACTGATAAACCACCTAGGTTAGTTACTATATTATACTTTTACAAGTTCTATTCAACCCACAAAAATCACAAGCTAGTTATCGAGTGTCATGTGTACAAGGGGCATACGCACCTATCAATTACCAGTGGCCAAGTGTTTCATAAAGAATGTCAATGATATGACCATAAGTTTTACGGATTTATATATGCAGACAGTATAAAGGAACTAGGTAGCAGATAGCACTGTTAACATAGCTATACTTAGTATTTGTATTCAGTCAATAACCCGCCTTGGGAGAGTTCCGGAACGAAGATTAAAAGAGAAACTTACTATTTAATCATATGAAAGCTTATTAAACCAAGTAGTAAAGTCATATGAAGTGACTTCTTAACAAACACTAGGGAAAAAGTGACCCTGAAGTCTCGAATTCCCGCCATGTATGTGCAAAAAGTCAAATGGTTCAGAAGTTGTGGACAAAATAGAAGAAGCTTTCGCATAACGGACCTACGTGTCTAGTAGCAGGGAATAACCAAGATCTCCAGGCAGGAACTCAGGTATATAAACGGTAAAAGAGGAAAAAGAAATCGGTAACTCATAGTACGATATCATCCTTAGTCCTTAAGAATAGGTCAAGTTGCCTCTTAAAGGACTCCTGGGAAAACGCTTGGACTAGCTCGGCCGGCAGCGAATTCCGGTATTTGACAACTCTTAAGGAGTAGAAGTTGTGTCTACAGTCCGTTCTGCTATGTTGTGTCTCCAGTTTTTGGGTGTTACCTCTTAGGTTAGTGTTGGAACTAAACTTAAGTAGGTGTGTGAGAGGATGTCCAGAAGTGTTAAGAATACTGTAATCCATCAGAATGTCACCTCAAAGATGACTATATTGTAATGAGTAAAGGTTTAGTGATTGTCGGCGCTCTTCAGAAGGCTTGGATATGGGCCCCCGAGCTGATTTCGTGCCTCACCTTTGGATGCATTCCAGATGGTCCTTATCCTTTTGGAGTGAGAGGGGAAATACCGTGTTTCTATACTGTAAACGGGGACGATTGAAACTTTGGAAGATTATGTCGAAAGTTCTTCTGTCAAAGTGGCCAAAAATGCGCTTCAATGTTACCAGTGCTAGGTTTGCTCGAAAGGCATTTTTGTCACAGTTAGCGTAAGACTTCAAATAGTAGGGTACAAGCACTCCTAAATCTTTGCCAACTTGGGACACTTCTGGAGAGGGTTCCTTAAGTTATAACTGTAGTCTGTAACATGTCTCAGATAGACTACTTTGAAGTGTTAAAGGTAAACCAGTTGTCATCTGCCCGACTCTGAAGTCGAGTCAGATCCTCCTCAACTGTAAGTATATCCTCTTGGTTGAGTATGCCTCTCCAAAGTCTCACATCATCAGCAAAAAGTAACAAATCTGGGGACACCGGTTGAGGAAGATTGTTTATGTAAATCAAGAAAAGAAGAGGTTCCAGTAGTGAAAACTGGGGTCGCCAATAGGACATTCCATGGCCCGAGAGAGTGAAGGTAACCCTAACTTTAAAGTCTTCCCCATAATTGCAACATTTCAGTTGTTGAAGTAGTCGTCAAATTATGTCAGGTTAGAAACCTTAATTTATAAAAAACCAATATTCTTTTACTATGATAATTGTTCTTGAATAAAAATTAGTCGAAACCTATGCTGTTACAGATCCACGGAATATTATTTCATGAAACTGGAGTGCTCTTCATTTCTACGTCCGTTTTGACAAATACTCAATTTCTTCATAGGTTAGTGATAATGCAGTCCCTTCAACAGGTTTACTGACAGGTACATACATAATATCGACGTCACAACAACATTCATCGTTAGGTATTGCTTGATGTGCAAAAGAGATTTAAGTAGGTTTCTCCGTCTTATTGAAAAAAACTGCGGCTGCAATTAACGAAATTAGTAGAATTACACTTGTCTGAAGAACAGAATGAAACAACACCTAACGATTCATGAATATTAGTAGATTTATCTGTTAGTCATGAGTTCCTTAAGTGATCACTTTTCATATGTTCTTCACTAACCGCAGTTTGATACAATTGACAACCTTTTTTGAATATTCCGTAACTCGAAACAAAAATACCACGCGTCATCGTGTTCAGTTCACGAATACATGAAGCATCCTGACAGTAATTGGGCGGAACCATGGAAGACCTACAGTGAATAGAGGGTGATATTGATTTACATATTTGAGTTTGACAACAGTCAGGAAATGACGAACCATTATTATAACAGGGTGAGAGAAAAACATCTTGCGAGTAGTCACAAAGGCAACAAATCCTAAAATATCCGTTCCCCCATTTCTTAAGGAATGTGTTCTGTACGGATGAAGTAGCAACATCCTGAGTATCAATACTAGATGAACAACATAAATTTTCAGGTATCACAGGAAAGACATTCCTGAGAAAATGGTTCGAAAGTCCAACAAATTATGTCACAAGTGTCAACTACTCCAAACCGTAAGAGGACACTTGAAGAACTTGTTAAACTTGAACGAACAAACGAAAGCGATCCTATACAGTTCCAATATGTATTTTCACCAATGTTACTCGGACTAATATCTGACTGTAAATACTTGCTAAAAGCGCCACAAATTACATCTAGATTTTTTGCACTCTCTTGAGAAGAGAATTCAGACGATGAAACTTGATGATTTGCAGATTTATTGTCAATTATTAGATTACAACGTAAATGTTGCTTTGTAATCGGGTTGATGAAGAACGAATCATCTGGTGTTTTGTGTTTAGTACTCTCATATAAATAAACACATTCAGTTAGTCTCTTTCGATAAGAAAACTGAAAAGAAACAATTAGTGATACTTCATCATGGTTTAACAGTCTGTAGCTGAGAAGTGACATGTGATTTTCCCATCTGCTTCCAAGAATCAGGCCACATGGTGGTCACAATGTTTTGTTTGGTGTTTTCAGTTGGTAGAGCACTTGCTGCTTTACTATCAGTATGACTTCTCAAAACTTCATTTTCCTTATTCTCGTCAATTAAGTCTGCTTTCATGTCTGTATCGAAATTCACTGTTTCTTCTCTCCGTTCAGTGGATTCTTATCAGTTTTATTTGTTCGCACATTAAGCTGGAACTGTTACGCCTGTTGTTGATTTCAGCTAATGAAAATATATTTCCACTTAGTTCTGGATAGAATGAAACTGATTCTCTCATTTTAATGAATTCAGAACATGGTTTCATGTGAAAATAGTGGGTTTCTTTTATAACTTCCTTATGCGTGGTTGAAAATGCAGTTTCAAGGTTATCCTTAATCAAAAGGTTTGATTAATTTTCTTCTTTGATAGATCAGTCTTCACATTTCTTTTGTGAGATATTTGATATTGTCCGGGATTTTTAGATCCAACGCTATTTATTGAATATGGAGGCTGGTTTCTTTTTGCTTTGCCGAAAATTACATTTTCTGAATCCGACTAAACAAAATATATACTCTTCTTACACATTTGTTGTGGAAGCACGGAGAACGATTAGTCAGCTGTAGTCTCAATTATATGAAACTTAGCTAAAATACCTAGTGTATTTTATTCATACACAAGTGCATCATTTGTACTCCTAGTAAAATTCATTGTTTCTTCATGTATGGTTGAAAAACTGGGTGGTGCAAACCTAGAACTGCCTGATTTGATATCAGCTTGTACATTGGATAACTCTCGAGTTTCAAACTCTAAGAAAGTAAAGGTTTTTACATCTTCCAAAGCTTCTCCGTCAAGTGTGATTCAATTGGTGCATGCTGTGTTGTATCGGAAAATCTTGCTTTTCCCTTTGTGTATGTTGAGACCTACTACATCTGAGGCTGCCATTGCACTAGTCGTCTTCTCATGAATTTGTTTTTGTGTGTGCGATAGAAGAGCTAAATCATCCGCAAAGTATGGATCGTTCAGCTGCAACCTAGCCGTCCACTGTATCACATGCTTCCCCAGGGATTTGGACATCCTCACGATCCAGTAGGTCATTAGGATAAAGAGAAACAGTGATCTATCATTTATTTGTTTATCGAACGATACATATTTAACAGACATTATCAAACCAGGATCTACATTTTGTGAATTTTTTAATTCATGTAATTCATGAATGTGACTCTCCTAATGGTTTACTTACGTTAGCTTGATGATGAAACATAGTGGTTTTTATCAGTGAGGGTTTTGTTGGGATTTTATTAATTTCATTAGTTGAAATCATGAGTCAGTTGAAGCTAGACTGCCATAGAATACCTGAAAGCTCTGGACGGCTGTTTCTTTCTAGTATGGGACTCCTCAATAGTGCACATCCATGATCCCGTCCCCTACGAGATTCGAACGTAGGACCTATCAGTCTCGCAGATCGCGGATGCGCGCTGCTGAAGAGTCCCATACTGGGATGAAACGGCTGTCCAGTGCTTCCAGGTTTTCAATAGTGGTCTAACATCAAGCAGTTCACGATCTCAATCAATAACTTAATAATCTCCACAATACTATACTGATAGTTACCATGTGCTCACTAGTGATTAGCTTCGTGAGGAAATTCTCGAAGTACTAGTGAGAAGCCGTGACCAGTGGGGCTAATCCGTATCGGGTAGAGACGGGTATCTACCTCAGGATAATGGAAGATTGTTGCGCAATTTCGTGGATTGGTTGAGGTTAGACATTAACGCCGTTGGATGCTGACTCATTGGTCTAGGGGTTAAGCGTTCGCGGGCGAGAATGAAGGCACTGTGTTCAAACCTCGCGAGCGGTGTCGTGTATGTGAACTGCTGAGAAGTCACATAATAGGATGAAATAGCCGTCTAATGCTCTTAGGTTTTCAATGGTGGTCTAACACCAATCAGTTCATGATCTTAATCAATAACATAATAATCTCCACAACTCTATATCTGTCAATCATATAATTCCAATAGTTCGTTACAATTTCGATTATATGCATTCATATGATTCAATAATTCGCCTTGAATGTACTATATTATCTACTCTAAATGTTGGCAGTAGAAATAGAATATGGAGACTTTTCATAATGTTTATTTTTCAGATTGGTCACCTACATTTGTTGAATACCTAAGATATTTGATGTTAAGGCTTTATAAACCTGATTTTTACACATTTCTAATTCATTGAGGACTATTATTTGTGAGTTGGAGAAACTGTTGGAATTTAGTTGAAAATGATTAATTTTAACTTATAAATTTATTTCGGGCGTTTTACTCTGCAAACATACAAGGTTATTGAATGGTTGAATTCACAAGTCAATTGAAGCTAGACCACCATAGAAAATCTGAGAGCACCGGACTACCGTTTTGTCTTATTGTGTGACTCGTCAGCAGTGCGCATCCACGGACTCGCCTCGCGAGACTCGAACCCAGGACCTATCAGTCTCGCGCGCATGCGCCTAACCACTAGACCACTAAACCGGCCGCCATTCAACGGTGTTAATGTCTAA